CACACACACACACACACGCCTTTCTTGTTTTGTTGTCTGACTCACCTGTGTGGCCCAGAGTTGCATCAGTATGGCCTTCTTCTGTGTCTCCTTATCGGCCCCCTCCTCTTGCAGGAGACACCTGTAGGCGTGAAGCCAAGGACTTGACCCCGAGTCTTCAGTCAGACCTGCTGGAGCCAAAAGCTCCCACAGTCTCTGGCGAACACTCTGGGCTGTCCTCTTCTCCTCTGTCACACAGATAAACATAGCAGAGTAAGTGACGAGTGAGTCACTGACAGAACATAAACAAACAGTTCACTTCGATTAGAATGTCAATGAAGGAAATGCCAAATACATAAACACAAATTATTGTGTATAAGAAGTGGGAGAGGAGCATTATTTCAGGTATGACAGGCAAGACTGAAAGAGGTATGCCATAATATTATAATAACATTTTCCTGTGTAAAATGGGTGGAACAAATTTAATTATAAACAATGATAAGGTACGAAAAGAAACACAAGGCCTGGGGAAATAAGGTGTATGTAGTGAAGTAAGCACCTTGCACATGTGAGATCATAGTCTGTACAGGACTGACGATGATGATGATGAATTGTGAATTGTAAAAAAAGTCTACAAAAACATTAAAAGGCTCCTAGACACTATGTAATCAACTGAGTAAGTGAAACTTGTCATGGCAACCACAAAACAAATTTTGATGGCACATCCAGTGATGATGTCAAAACACGCCAGTTCAATTGTAAACAGTGAAGACACAAGCAACACCTTCTTGTGACTCATGGCTAGAGACGCTTGTGATCTGTATCTACACCTGATGTACATCCTAACTGATTTTCATTCATCACAGTGCTTTCAGATCACTGATCAACCTTTAAATCTAATCTGACGGATCTGACCAGTAGGCACATAAAGTTTCCAGCGTCATTACCTGGCTTTAGCGTGCCTCTTGCCATTTTGGTTAAGAGACCATCAAACTTCTTGTACTCCTCGTAGACACTTGAGGGATCCGTGCCGTTGTTGTTCTGCTCTCCTCCGAACAGGGTCAGGTACCCCGCCCTGCATAGAAAGAAGAGATACAATGTGTGGGAATGTGCAAGACTTTTCAGTTGATATGGCACGGTGTTGATGGCAAGATAACCAGTCCACGCAGGTTTTCTATTTGAAAGCATCCCCTTTCAACAGGTATTTTTCCACTCCTTGTGGTGGATGTCACATTGTCCCAGTAAATGTTAGATAACATATATACGGTTTCACATTCCAGATCTGAATAGTATCTGATGCTTTGCTTGATAAAAGACATTTTGAGTCATATCCGCTCTTGCAAAAATGTTCAGCCGGAAAGGGGACCTCCAACATTTGTGTCACACAGCCATTTTTCTGGCTGTGTTTACAAACAGAGAATCTCAGGATTGACAAGTGTATAAACTGTTTAGCTAAAGACGTGAGCGCATACTTATTTTGACATAGTGTGTGTGTGGATGGGCTCTCTTACTTGAAAAGTAAGCTGTAAGCGAAGTTGAACAGTCCCTCCTTCTTCCAGTCTTTCTGGTTCTGAGGCATCTCTGCTTTCAGCAAGGCTTGCAGGTGTTTGCCCATGGTGCTGTTAAGGGCACCCAAATTCACTCCTAGGAAGTGCCTGTGGACACAAAAGGTCGTGACAGTGACGGAAGAAAATTGCTGCATCGCAGAAGGGAATTCTGTCAATCGTGTCACACTAGTTGATGGTGTTGTGGAAACAGTGCAATTACTCAGTGCCATACATACATTTTTAAATCTTCCTATTTACTTAGTTGCCCTGCCTATTTTCCTTGAGGTAATACACCGTCAATAAAGTTGACCATCAGCTACAAGAGCTGCAGTTTTGGAGATGCTCTGATCTAGTCGTCTAGCCATCACAATTTGGCCGTTGTCAAAGTCGCTCAAATCCTCACGCTGCCCATTTTTACTGCTTCTAACACATCAACTTTGAATACAAAATGTTCACCTGCTGCCTGA